CACTTCTATCAACAGAGTAGATAAAAGAACTGATAAAGACAACTATCATACTGACAAGGTGCAGTTATAGTTTTGGAAAGGGATGTATAGGACTTAATGGACCGAAATATTCCTAATTATGTTTTCCTTTATTTCTTGCTCCGCTTAATTCATTTTTTTTTTAATTTTAGGACTACTAGAGCACTGTTTAAGCATTTCTCCAATAAGGAATAACAGAAAAGTTGCTTGCTTCACACTGGTGAGAAAAGCGATAATGAAATAGCAGTTAGTTAAAAAGCACAACTGTAGCCATAACACAAACCTTGTTTCTCCCAGATCGGCGTTTGTTCCATTATTAGTAATCTCTGCTACACTATCGTCAACCACTGCTTCGCCTGATTCTACCTTTTCTTCTGGCACTGCAGCATCTCCGCTTCCATTCTTCAACGATCCAGCTCGGGTGCCAATCCCCGATGTGCTCGGTTCAGCCTCTCCTAACTCACTTAGCGTAACTGGCGGTGGTGGTGGTGAGAGCTCACGTAACGTACGCGTCTTTGGCTTTTTAGCTTTCTTCTCTGCCCTCTGTTCCATTTGATACATTCTGAAAGAAAGAAATATACGTCTTGTCCCACGTCATTATATGTGTCGATACGCGCAACAAAAATCTCCGGGGCTTATTTTTATCGTGGTTATTGTGATCAAGTCGCTGCATCACCCCATCAACTTACTCTAATAGTTCTAACACTGTGGTGTTGAAAAGGAATATCAATGCACTCAAATGCCCCTCACATTTTTTTTCCATACACTGATAAATACTTTTCTTTTTTCTTTATCGCATAAGTAATAATTTGTTATTATAATTATCATTATTATTGTTGTTGTTGTAATTATATTATCATTATCACTATTATTATTACTACTATTATTACTACTATTATTATTATCATCATCATTATTCTACAAACTAAAATCCAGTTACAGTGGCGAACAGGGACAACGTGAGGGCGAAATATTCCTGTTCGGGGATTCATCCCTATTAATTTCCATTTCTAATTACCTATTTGTTTATATTTCCTTTTTTGAGAGTTTTATTTCCCTAATTAAGGTGTCAATTAGTTTTACATAATCTTTAGTCTTTTAAAAATTTTAAAATACTA